TTTTGTCACACCCACCATATAGCCCTGACCTTGCGCCTTCGGATTACCATTTGTTTCGTTCCATGCAAAACTCTTTAAATGGTAAAATTGTTAACAACGCGGATGATGTCGGATCACACCTAATTCAGTTTTTTAATAGCAAAGACCAGACATTTTACGAACGGGGAATTTTTACTCTGCCAGAACGATGGGAAAAGGTCATCGACAAGAACGGCCAATATCTAATTGAATAAAGTTATGTTTTTAAACAAAAATTCCGAATTTGCCTTCTTATTTGAAATCGGCAATGACTTAGTTGCCAACCTAATAGTTCTTCCGTGTTTATGAACTCAAAACAATCAAATTTGATATACTACAGTTTTGTGGCTTAAGATAATTGTTTTAAATTGGCCTTCATAGTATTAGTAAAAAAATTAGAAGAATTGCAATATGTGCTAGGCAAAACGAGTCACTAAACCTCAAAGAAGCGTTTATAGAAGATATGAGCTTTTGCCACTAAAATAATTACAAATTGGAGCACATCCTGTAAATTATTCATCGTGTGTGCTCCTACTACTGAAACAAACTATGAGAAATGATCTGTTTAGAGGAATTGCCTATGCAATAGTTTGTGGAGCGCACAATGTTGTCATCGCTGAACAAAGGAGTCTAATGTGCACTCAGACAGGCTCAAAAGTGCGCAAGTGCTACTATGCGTAGGGAATGAGTGCGTCGTGAGTGCGGAGACCACCCAGCCAACCGTCAATCAATAGTCTAGAAAATCCTCCATTGTAGTAAGATAGCTTAGCTTCCTATCAGCAGCATACATGCAAAGTAAATGTTTTTCACGTCATACGTCTGGAGAGAGCCTTTACGAATTAGGTGAAAGTGCTGTAAAGATTACTGAGCATTAGTCAAAGCGTACTAGTATGGCAATCCGCCACAAGTTCGTAGCCGTATGCCACCCAATGAACAAAAACAATTAACTTAGTTATAATCGATTGACCCAATTGAATTTCTAATATCGTAAGTCACATGGAAAGTCTAACCGTAGCAGGTTCAAAAGTACAAATTTTACAAATTTTGGAATCGGGTGAAGATTCTTTCATTGCTTAAAATGCTTGGTCATCGCCACCCCCATTCGATTTTAAAATTTTGTTTTTTTTGTAGTCGACAGGTTTCAATGCTTTAAATTGTGAAGTACGCAATGTTGACAAAGCTGAACCATTGAATCATCCGCGCGCAAGACCATTCTGAAACGGGCATCCATGTGCACTCGTGCACGCAGGGATCACTCAGCCAATTAACAAACAATAGCCACGGCAACGTCAGCGAAGCCAAAATTGCATTCAATGACTATCCTCACGAGAAGTAACGTAAAACCAAAATAATTGTACTCCGTGACATACGTTAGGTCCTTTTATATCGTCGAGGAAGCCTTTCGATACCATACGATCTTTCTTTAGAGATTTCACGAATAAGACCAAGGCTAATTCGAGCATCAATCCACTTCAAACTCCTGTCTTCTTTGATATTTGAATAACTAGCTGGTCCCATAAATTTCATCTTAAATACCCTTTTAAAAAATTCGAATTTCACCATATTAGTTATTATGGTAGCCTTCATCAAAGACTTCGGGCCTTCAGTTAAGCCTGGCGGTCCCCCCCCCTTCCCTGTCTATCATTGAGTCGCTTTACTGAATCGAGTCCAGAATGCATTGGTGCCAAATACTCAAGCAAGCGGAGAATTAACATGAGGGCTGTGATTTCTCACTCAAGCACTAGTTCTCTTAGAGAATTAAGTTATTGTTTGTACAAATAACAATTACTTCAGGTAAGAAGATATAAGCCTGGGTTTTATATGATTCCATTAATCAAAGCTTTAGTTTTCTTCCCTTGTTATTTAATCGAAAAAGTACTCACTTGTGAATCATAAAACATTGAAAATTGAAGCATATAAACACTTGGTCGTTAAAAAATCAACTATTCATCGATTGACCTTCAAAGGAAGCTCTACCTTAACGTTAACCTCACAAATTTCAGCAAGAAAAGAAAATTATAAGGGTTAATTGCAATATTTAAACAATTCCTATACACAAATTTCTCATTATAGAATCGAAGGGTTCTAAAATATTATTCCACCATCTCTTTTCTTTCAGTCGAGATTTTCAAAAATTATATTTCCAGATATATATATATATATATATATATATATATAAAGGAAACGGTATACCTCTATACTAATTAATCTTTGCAAAACCTAAAGCAATTACTTATATCTTCTATCTAGGGCATTGCTTATTGGAATATCAACGAGTAACTTGATTTGCTTGGTACTTCAATTCACAACTACCAGCCTACAGATTTTTTTGCGAAATTCATCTTTATAAAGAATTATCAGGTGAAAAATTAATAAAAAACGGCAGTTGACGTACAATTAGAACGAAGAACTTGTCTAGGAAAATATTACTTCAGAATATTTGTCAATATCACTCATTTTATACTGTTTCCCTACTTTCTACTGACATTTATCGATTAGTGTATTGGCAGACAAAGGGGGTAAAAAATGAAATTAATTTGTTTTGACAGATTTTCTCCTAATTAATTTTAGCCGCTTTTCATTTATTAACAGTATTATCACCCAGGGTTTCAGAAAAAGATTATAAAATTTAAATTCATGGGGTAGAAGTTAAATTAAGAGAATGCGTGGCGCTCATTGGCTCGTTGATGTGTTCGGTTCATTTATACAACTCTCATCTAATGACACTTCTGCCCTAATTACCAGTGGTTTAGCGACGAACTTAGGGCGCACAATTTGTCAGCCACCAAATCGGACATATATTTATTTTTATCAAATGGCAGGCGTTTTGGTAGTTATCATTAGCCTTTTAGTTTATTCCAGGCTTCACAGAGGGGATGGAACAGCAAAGTGAAAAAAAAGTCGAGAGGGGGGGGGGGAAGAAGAGTCGTTCAATGATGCAAGCGAGACAGACACAAAGGTAGAGTGAAAAGGTGAGGTGAGTACTGCGGAAGGGGTCGAATATGACATGCAGTCGGGCCATGGTAGTTTGAAGTGAGAGGTCAACTGCCGGTTAATAGACTTTTTGCCGTATGAGTGTACGTTGCCCAGGTTGCACCACATGGAGTTAAATCTCTCGTACACCCCCAAATCAGACATTATTTTACCTGTTCTTTGCAGTCTGAAATGTCGTCACTTAAGTAAAGGGACCTTCGAATTTCCCCTCATTATGCTTCTGTTTTCCTTCCAATCATTCTCATTTGCTCAAACTACATTGGGATCTCTTTTCATTCCTGGTTATCCGCTTTTGCGCTAGGCTGTAATGTCTCTGTTGACGTTATGATATCCTTTAATTCACTAATTAGGTATTAAGCTTAAAGCAGTCTTACATTTTTCAAGTAGCTTAATATCGGGAGTAATGCCACCCTTGGAACAACTAAATGGAAGGTTTGGAAAAAAATGTCCATTTTGTGATAAGAGCAACACGAGTTCTTTCCCTTATCCAAATTATTCTTGTGCATAATAAGGGATTGCAAGTTCTGACCAACATTTTAGTAAAAGCAAAGAAATTGACATTTTTTCAGTTAATGATAGCTAGCTTAGTTTAGCCCACATTAAATGTTTAGCTTTCCAAATGGAAAACGTCAAACGGCTTAAATCAAATTTATAAATGTTAAATTTGAATAATGGAGGAAGACCTGGTTATCAGCTGACCCCTTGTGTATTGAAAGAGGATTTTTACGAAATTTGAAACCTTTGAAAAATGTCTTGGTCAAAATGCAGAATAAAAGTACATTAGAATGTAGAATGAGAGAATGAGTCATCTTGCATATCAATTAAAACATGAATTATGGAGGGAAGCGAAAGTAACATTGAGTCTACTGAATTTTACTCATATGCATCATTAAATTAAAGAATCACTTTACCTAGCATAATTGCACCACTTGACTAGTCTTATTTAGTCATCCGAGTTTTAATTTTTTGAGATATAATTCAAGTTAATACATCATGTCTCGGAAAAATTTGCCTAGACATTCAAAAAGTTACTTTCTGCCACTTAGAATCGTTTATTAGATGAGTAAAAACGAGTTTTTCTAATGACGCGAAGGCAAAACAATTTTGTTTATTATAAGAGCAAATACAAAAGAAGAAAAGAGACGTGGATACGAAGTATAAGCGTGTGAAGTGAGAAGGAGAGCGTCATTCAATGGTCACTAATGAAAGTAATATTAATAATAATAATAATAAGCTTTTAATCTTCTATCGTGGGGTAATGGTGCGGGTGGTGTGACGTTGTTTAGAGCGTTTTCTTTGATGTGATTGGCGGTACGTACCCATACCGGAGATGGAAGAATCGGAAGAGCTGGACGAACTGCTGGATGAGGATCTAGGCGATACTATTTTCTGAATCCTCCATTTACTGGTAGGTCTTGGCGACCTTGAGCTTGAACTTGACGAGGATGACCTGGATGAAGAGCTTGAACTTGAAGAATGGCGCGCTCTAGGCTTTATTACAGCCTTATAATCCCTCGGGGTGAACTGCACATAGTCACCTTGTCCAGAACGAACCTTGTAGCTAGAGGCGCGACTCTGTTTGTTACTCGGAGAAGAAGGATTACGCAGCCATTTTGTAGCAATGCTCCCGCTTGAGCTGCTAGATGATGAACTACTTGATCGACTACTTGAGCTGCTTGAACTAGCAAGACGAGAAGTGTAATAAAAAATTCGTCCTGATTCGGATCGGTTTAGATTCTTTTCAGGCGAAATCTGCAAAATTCTCATTGATTCGGCACTCTTCCTTGATTTGTGATTCCCACCCACAGAGTCGTTTGACGGCTTCCCATTTCGGCTTAATGCTGACCGTGGAGCCTGAGGTCGTCTTCTATGATGTAAGTTTCCATTCATGGACGTGGGATCACTTGGTTCGGTAGAAATGTAAGAAGTACGAGTATTTTGGTAGTACTCTTGGTAGGCTGGATTGATCTGTTTCGGTGGGGCACTCTTCTGTCTCTTTGAATATGAAGAAGAGGAGGAAGAGGATGATGAAGATGAAGACGAGGAGTGGCGATTTGATTTAACAGCTGTATTCGTCTGGCTAATTGGTCTCATTGGTGACCTCGTTGCAGGAGTCATAACTGGTGATGGACTTGGACTCACGCGAGATCGTGGCAAAGGTGCAGCAGATTGTAAGTTGCTCATTGAACTTCTTGATGAAATAGACCTGAGACTAGAATTCCTACGTTGCTTAAATGCAGGATGAGATGATGTGGATGATTGACGAGATTTTACTATCCTTTTTTCATTCATGGAACGAGTAATGGAATTGGCTCTTGAAGGACTCCGTGTGCTTGGTGTAAGAGGTGGTGGTGGTGATACGGGAGAACGAAGAGATTCTCGACTCTCTGGAGCTGGGGCTGAAACAACCTCCTCTTCTTTTGCCCTAACACCCTTCAAATTTGCAATGTCATAGAATTCTTTGGCCTCATCCTCTTTTTCAAAACGCAGACCAAACACAAAGGTCTTCTTCTTTGCATTACCTTCTGTAGCCAGCACAACAACTTTTTCCTTGATTGGACCCTTTTTAACCATTTTGATTTTGGTGTTCTCAATCGCTGGAACTGGAGGCTTGCCTTTTCCAGCTTGGAATGTCATTCTGGCAAGAGTAATATTTGCTGTCAGGTTCTTGGCCTTAGCAGATTTGGCCTTCTGGTAGACCTTTTTAGCCAAAGCTTCATAACCGGATTCCTTCTTGAAGTCCTTTTTCACCATATATTCAATCGTCACTTTGCTTTTATTTGCCATCTTGAGTTAAATTTCTGTCACTCCGTTGATAGCGCTTTCTACGCTGTGTGTGTGCAATGAGAAACGAATGTTGATGAGACCACTTATAGGCGTCTTTTATGTCACGTCAAGGAGCCAATGAGAAGAGAGGCCTTATGATTTGGTGACTCCTTTAATTCTGTGAGTTCATTTTCTCACCCACGAACTCAATTATTCAATCACCATAGGGGTCCTATTGAGATTGCCTGTCTACCTACCCACTATCTTATCACCTTTAGTTTGCGTAAACATAAGGAAGCGTGGTAAATGCTCATCACCTTCGATTGTAAAATTGTTTTAGCATGAATCGACTTTAGTACGCGTTTACTGATTGTGTGAATTTTACTTTCAGCATTCAAATTGTCTTTGGCGAAACTTTAAAGTTTAGAAAAATAATATGTAAAAATGACGTCAATATTCAAATTAATGAGAGTGTTATTAATTAAATTGCAGAAAATTGGAAACGAATACTTCGTAGACACACTTTTTTTGATAATATAAACGTATAGAAATGCAACGTATGTTAACCAATATTCACTTTCATGGGGTGTGAGATAGACTTACCTCCTCGTGGTGCACCCTGGGCAACGTATATTCATACGGCAAAAAAGTCTATTGACTGGCAGTTGACTTCTCATTTCAAACAACCATCACCTCACTCTATGCCCTATTCGACTATTTCCACAGTAATCACCTCACTTTTGTTCTACCTTTGTGTTTGTCTCTTACGTCTTTGAAACACTCTTCTGTCCCCCCCCCTCTCGAATTTTTTTCAATTTGATGTTCCTTCCCCTCTGTGAAGCCTGAAGTCAACTAAAGGGCTAATGATAACCATCAAGATGCCTGCCATTTGATATAAATAAATAAATAAATATAAATATAACCTTGAACTGAATGTTACAATTGACAAGCTTAAAGTATAAACTGCCAATTGACTTTTATATTGGGACCAAGTATTGATTACCTGTAAAATTTTCCACGTTAATTGTCAATTTGTTCATTTTGCACTATGAGCGATCGGGAATTTTTTTAGTGCGTAATTGATTTCATTATGGCAAATGTTTGCAGATCACTCATGTTGCTGAAATACCCTAACCTAATAAATTTGAACCATCGAAATACGCAGTAATTGAGGCATAAAAGGTGTGAACAAATGTGATTTGTATTCCTTAATCCATTTTCAATTAACGACTTTCACTTTATTAATTTCAGCAAGAATTCACATAGGGCTACATTCGATATTATGAGTGAAGATATTCATTTAGGATATTCAGTTAGGATAATTGGAGTAGGTGAGATATAGATAAATGCAAGACGTAAATTGTGTTTTCAATTTAAGGAGAAAAGGTATTTAGCATTTGCTGCAGAATTACATTGATAATCTATTGACTATTCAGCGATTTCACCTTCTAATTAAAATTTTCTATGTATATTAACTAGATTTGATATAATTTAATAAATATTTTTACTCAATTATGAATCAGTCATGTAAAAGTCATACAATATCTTGTAATATGGTGAAACCTATGAAATACCGTAATAATAGGTGAAAAAATTGTGAGTCAATAAGAGTTATTTTGTATGAAAGCATGATTTATTGGCTTTGTAAATGTCAGTAGTAAGTACCTATGTCTAACAAATCTGGAACAGCAATTAACACGAGTCTAATTTCCCCTCTTCTAGGGAGTTCAAAAGAAACACTAAATCATGTGACTGGCAAAGTTATGTTAATGTAGGCGGAAAAGGGATGCATTAATAATATCTAGGGGAACGCTGTTTTATCAGTGTTACAACCAACAAAGGCACAAAGTACCCGCACACTTCATAGATTAATCCCTGTTGACTAGAGTAATTTCAGTTGCACTTGGAAAATTTCTATCTGCAGGTCAGCAAGATTTAGCAAAAGTGATTAAACATCTCCTTAAAATTATGAACCAATCAGATACAAATCAAGCGAATCTATTGCAGCAAATGACGAAATCTCTAATATGAAATCAATCTTGGGAAAAAATATTTCAATAATAGTAACATGGGTCCTAAGAAACTGGGGCCGAGTATCCAAAAAAATTCGTTTAAGATTCAATGCAAGAATAAGTTAAAATAATGTTGCATATTCTCTTGAATTAAGAAGCGCAGGACAGATTTTTTACTCCATTTTCCCTCATTTTATATCCTAGTAACTCTCTATCTGCACTTTTGAAAAGTATAATTTCATAATAGCGATAAATGATATATGTCATGCCAATCTCAATAACAGCGACGCATTGGAGAACAAATCTGTGAAATAGTGGAGAAAAATTCTCCCCAGTGTACGACCTTAAAAGCATTGATTTATTAATTGAACAACCAAGTGCATGGGTATTTAGTAAATACAAATAATCTCAAGACAGTGAATTGATGCAATTTTGCGAATTTGTCAAAATTCACATAGTATCAGGGTGGTTACCTTGCGAATCACTGGAGAAACGACTAAATCTAAGTAGTTTATTGAGTTCTAAGATTTGCGGCTATTTTGAAGGATTAGTATATCTAAAAACGAAATCAAACTGTGAATAAGGGGAGCTTTACTCTCATTAACAACTCAGGTACCGTTATTTGAATGTCTTCACTGATTTAAGTGATTGATAATAACTCAAGGGGGGTGTGCGATAGACTTACCTCCTCGTGGTGTACCATGGGCAACGTATACTCATACGGCAAAAAAGTCTATTAACTGGCAGTTGACTTCTGACTTCAAACTACCATGACCCCACTGTACGTCATATTCGGCCACTTTCAAAGTATTCATTTTACCTTTTTCTCTACCTTTGTGTTTGTCTCTTCTACATCTTTGAAACACTTCTGTTCCTCCCCTACCCCACTCTCGACTTTTTTTCACTTTGATGTTCTTCCCCTCTATGGAGCCTGAAGTCAACTAAAGGGCTAATGATAACTATCAAAACGCCTGCCATTTGAAATAAATAAATAAATAATAACTCAAGGAAGTCATGAATTT